TGTACATCTGTAACTGACTCAGAAGGTTGATTATACAGGCCCTACATCATCTGTACATCTGTAACAATGGTTAAATGAAAGTTGATGATACAGGCCCTGCATCATCTGTACATCTGTAACAATGGTTAAATGAAGGTTGATGATACAGGCCCTACATCATATGTACATCTGTAACTGACTCAGAAGGTTGATGATACAGTCCCTACATCATCTGTATATCTGTAACTGACTCAGAATGTTGATGATACAGGCCCTACATCATCTGTAAATCTGTAACTGACTCAGAAGGTTGATGATGCAGGCCCTACATCATCTGTACATCTGTAACAATGGTTAAATGAAGGTTGAAGATACAGGCCCTGCATCATCTGTCCATCTGTAACTATGGTTAAATGAAGGTTGATGATACAGGCCCTACATCATATGTACATCTGTAACTGACTCAGAAGGTTGATGATACAGTCCCTACATCATCTGTATATCTGTAACTGACTCAGAAGGTTGATGATACAGGCGCTACATCATCTGTATATCTGTAACTGACTCAGAAGGTTGATGATACAGGCCCTACATCATCTGTGTATCTGTAACTGACTCAGAAGTTTGATGATACAGGCGCTACATCATCTGTATATCTGTAACTGACTCAGGAGGTTGATGATACAGGCCCTACATCATCTGTAAATCTGTAACTGACTCAGAAGGTTGATGATACAGTCGCTACATCATCTGTACATCTGTAACTGACTCAGAAAGTTGATGATACAGGCCCTACATCATCTGTAAATCTGTAACTGACTCAGAAGGTTGATGATACAGTCCCTACATCATCTGTATATCTGGAACTGACTCAGAAGTTTGATGATACAGGCCCTACATCATCTGTATATCTGAAACTGACTCAGAAGGTTGATGATACAGGCGCTACATCATCTGTATATCTGTAACTGACTCAGAAGGTTGATGATACAGTCCCTACATCATCTGTATATCTGGAACTGACTCAGAAGTTTGATGATACAGGCGCTACATCATCTGTATATCTGTAACTGACTCAGAAGGTTGATGATACAGTCCCTACATCATCTGTATATCTGGAACTGACTCAGAAGTTTGATGATACAGGCCCTACATCATCTGTATATCTGTAACTGACTCAGAAGTTTGATGATACAGGCGCTACATCATCTGTATATCTGTAACTGACTCAGAAGGTTGATGATACAGGCCCTACATCATCTGTACATCTGTAACTGACTCAGAAGGTTGATGATACAGGCCCTACATCATCTGTACATCTGTAACTGACTCAGAAGGTTGATGATACAGGCCCTACATCATCTGTACATCTGTAACTGACTCAGAAGGTTGATGATACAGGCCCTACATCATCTGTACATCTGTAACTGACTCAGAAGGTTGATGATACAGGCCCTACATCATCTGTACATCTGTAACTGACTCAGAAGGTTGATGATACAGGCCCTACATCATCTGTACATCTGTAACTGACTCAGAAGGTTGATGATACAGGCCCTACATCATCTGTACATCTGTAACTGACTCAGAAGGTTGATGATACAGGCCCTACATCATCTGTACATCTGTAACTGACTCAGAAGGTTGATGATACAGGCCCTACATCATCTGTACATCTGTAACTGACTCAGAAGGTTGATGATACAGGCCCTACATCATCTGTACATCTGTAACTGACTCAGAAGGTTGATGATACAGGCCCTACATCATCTGTACATCTGTAACTGACTCAGAAGGTTGATGATACAGGCCCTACATCATCTGTACATCTGTAACTGACTCAGAAGGTTGATGATACAGGCCCTACATCATCTGTACATCTGTAACTGACTCAGAAGGTTGATGATACAGGCCCTACATCATCTGTACATCTGTAACTGACTCAGAAGGTTGATGATACAGGCCCTACATCATCTGTACATCTGTAACTGACTCAGAAGGTTGATGATACAGGCCCTACATCATCTGTACATCTGTAACTGACTCAGAAGGTTGATGATACAGGCCCTACATCATCTGTACATCTGTAACTGACTCAGAAGGTTGATGATACAGGCCCTACATCATCTGTACATCTGTAACTGACTCAGAAGGTTGATGATACAGGCCCTACATCATCTGTACATCTGTAACTGACTCAGAAGGTTGTTGAACTATCAGTAGAACATACAGGCATGTAGACCTGTTGTTATATTTTGTGGGTTTCAAAAATCTTCTCATTTCCTGGCAGTCTGGAGGACAAGCTAAGTGGTAATGCATGTGTGTCGGAGCTAAAGGCCTACTGTAATAGCACAGCTGTTTTATAACTCAAATTTCCTGCTTCGAGTTAAAGAGAAAAACTTTAACTCCGGCTTCAAGTTGAATCTCCAGTACTTTAATTCTATACAAACAGTATAACTGTTTTAAACCAAACTTCGTATAATGACTGAAACCTTCATGAAACTGACCTTTCACTTAAGCCCCAGGAATCGAAATTTACTGAAATGAGCTAAAATGTTTTTTAAAAAAAGAGATATTTTCATACTTTTAAGATTGTTAGTCACATGCAGACATAATCCTAAATGGTTCATATGGTGGCACTATATTTTTCATCTGTGTGTGTGATTTGTCAGACTGTGTGTGTGTGTGTGTGTGTGTGATCTGTGTGTGTGTGATCTGTGTGTGTGTGATCTGTGTGTGTGATCTGTCAGCCTGTGTGTGTGTGCTCTGTCAGCCTGTGTGTGTGATCTGTCAGACTGTGTGTGTGTGTGTGTGTGTGTGATCTGTCAGACTGTGTGTGTGTGTGTGTGATCTGTGTGTGTGTGGTCTGTCAGACTGTGTGTGTGTGATCTGTCAGACTGTGTGTGTGTGTGTGTGTGATCTGTGTGTGTGATCTGTCAGACTGTGTGTGTGTGATCTGTCAGACTGTGTGTGTGTGTGTGATCTGTGTGTGTGATCTGTCAGCCTGTGTGTGTGTGATCTGTCAGTCTGTGTGTGTGATCTGTCAGCCTGTGTTTGTGATCTGTCAGCCTGTGTGTGTGATCTGTCAGACTGTGTGTGTGATCTGTCAGTCTGTGTGTGTGATCTGTCAGTCTGTGTGTGTGTGATCTGTCAGACTGTGTGTGTGATCTGTCAGCCTGTGTTTGTGATCTGTCAGCCTGTGTGTGTGATCTGTCAACCTGTGTGTGTGATCTGTCAGCCTGTGTGTGTGATCTGTCAACCTGTGTTTGTGATCTGTCAACCTGTGTGTGTGATCTGTCAATCTGTGTGTGTGATCTGTCAGCATGTGTGTATGATCTGTCAGCCTCTCTGTGTGTTATCTGTCATCTTTTTGGTACTAAGCCATACCCTTTATCTGAACCATACTGTACACATATCTTTGTAAATTTAACCTGTGTTATCTGTAACTTGTAATAAACACATCTTTAATGAACCATACTGTTCACATATCTTGGTAAATTTAACCTGTGTTATCTATAACTTGTAATTAACACATCTTCAGCTGAACCATACTGTACACATATCTTTGTAAATGTTATCTAGAACTTGTAATAAAAAGATCTATAATTTGTCGATACTTTACATTAATCACATATCTTTGTTAATTGAACTTGTGTAGTCTGAAATCACACATACATATTTAACCTAAATATTAGTTCTTGCAGTGTTCAGTGTAGACCAGTAACTGAGTTGATAAACAATAAGGCTGTTTCCTGGGTGTAAGTTCTAAGAGTTTCTGGTTCCTCTGATGACTGTTGGTTAGTGAACAGTTATTACCTTCTCGAAGTTTAGTGATAAGTGCAACTGCTGTTTCTTGCAATGTTCACAGTTTTTTTCTGACTGATAATTACATTCTCATGCCTGCGGTGAAATGGAAGGGGGAAATGTCTGAGGTGTTTCTACCACAAATCTTGGTCTTTCTGTTTTCTCTATTCTGTAAATGTCAGATTAACTTCTGTACTGGGGGTGAGTAAAAACATCTATGTGTGGAACTACCCAACTGACAAGGTAAGTCGCTGAAGTTACCTTCTAACAATAGTCCTTTAAACTGTAATTCTGGTCTAGGTTTAGCTTAGGATCATAACGCATGTCTGTCCTACTCCTATGGTTAGCTGAGGAATGACTGTGTAATTAGAAATATTTAGGTAAAATGAATGTTGTTAGTTTTGCTCCCCTGACTCTAGTGAATGCCCTGTAAATCTTGCCTCCAGTCTTCGTCTCCTAGGAAGCTGCTTATCATCATCAACACCTACGTTTAACAGTCATTGACCCCAAAAAATGACCACTGTTAAACTATTACTGCAGTAGAAGTACACAGCTTTACTATGCCTAGTAGTTTTTGCATTTCACTTCTGATGAGGGATGGAGATGGACAGGGTGGGATTAATAGAATCACTCACCCCCTTGTGATTATAGGCTAATGCAAGGATGATGTGACATTGATGTTTTGTTGACATGACGTCGTTGTATTGTTGAAGTGACGTCATACCATTGTTATGAATAGGGGAATCCCCCCGTCTCAACCCTAAAGTGACACAAGGATATCTCACACCTGTCCAGGGTAAGACTCAAGGATATCTCACACAGGTAAAAGTGTGGATACACCTTTTCAGAGTAAGTGCAAAGGTACCCCTGTCCTGGTTAAGAGACAAGGATATCTCACACCTGTCCAGTGTAAGACTCAAGGATATCTCACACAGGTTAAAGAGTGTATACACCTGTCCAGAGTAAGTGCAAAGGTACCCCTGTCCTGGTTAAGAGACAAGGATATCTCACACAGGTGAAAGTGTGTAAACACCTGTCCAGAGTAAGTGCAAAGGTATCCCTGTCCTGGTTAAGAGACAAGGATATCTCACACTGGTAAACGTGTGTAAACACATATAAGCTCCACTGATCATTCATCGCTCACACACTACACATTCCTATGTTGATATTTACCTGTATTAATGAACATCTGAACAAGTTATTTTTTACTCTTTCAGCAATCACCAAAGAGGACACTATACACGAGAGTGACCAGGAGGTAAGTGTCAGTGGGTGTGGCCGACCATATCTCAGGGGATAGGGGGATGGGTGTGGCCAACCATATCTCAGGGGATAAAGTGATGGGTGTGGCGAACCATATCTCAGGGGATAAAGTGATGGGTGTGGCCAACAATATCTCATGGGATAAAATGATTGGTGTAGCCAAACATATCTCAGGGGATAAGGTGATGGGTGTGGCGAACCATATCTCAGGGGATAAAGAGATGGGTGTGGCGAACCATATCTCAGGGGATAAAGAGATGGGTGTGGCGAACCATATCTCAGGGGATAAAATGATGGATGTGGCCAGCCATATCTCAGGAGATAAGGTGATGGGTGTGGGCAACCATATCTCAGGGGATAAGGTAATGGGTGTGGCCAACCATATCTCAGGGATAAGGTGATGGGTGTGGGCAATCAATACACGAGAGTGACCAGGAGGTAAGTGTCAGTGGGTGTGGCCGATCATATCTCAGGGGATAGGGGGATGGGTGTGGCCAACCATATCTCAGGGATAAGGTGATGGGTGTGGGCAATCAATACACGAGAGTGACCAGGAGGTAAGTGTCAGTGGGTGTGGCCGATCATATCTCAGGGGATAGGGGGATGGGTGTGGCCAACCATATCTCAGGGATAAGGTGATGGGTGTGGGCAATCAATACACGAGAGTGACCAGGAGGTAAGTGTCAGTGGGTGTGGCCGATCATATCTCAGGGGATAGGGGGATGGGTGTGACCAACCATATCTCAGGGGATAAAATGATGGAGATGGCCAACCATATCTAAGGGAATAAGGTGATGGGTGTGGGCAACCATATCTCAGGGGATAAGGTGATGGTTGTGGCGTATCATATCTCAGGGGATAAAATGATGGATGTGGCCAGCCATATCTCAGGAGATAAGGTGATGGGTGTGGGCAACCATATCTCAGGGGATAAGGTGATGGTTGTGGCGTATCATATCTCAGGGGATAAAATGATGGAGATGGCCAACCATATCTAAGGGAATAAGGTGATGGGTGTGGGCAACCATATCTCAGGGGATAAGGTAATGGGTGTGGCCAACCATATCTCAGGGATAAGGTGATGGGTGTGGGCAATCAATACACGAGAGTGACCAGGAGGTAAGTGTCAGTGGGTGTGGCCGATCATATCTCAGGGGATAGGGGGATGGGTGTGGCCAACCATATCTCAGGGGATAAAGGGATGGGTGTGGCGAACCATATCTCAGGGGATAAAATGATGGGTGTGGCCAATAATATCTCAGGGGATAAAATGATGGGGATGGCCAATCATATCTCAGGGGATAAAGTGATGGGTGTGGCCAACCATATATCATGGGATAAAATGATTGGTGTAGCCAAACATATCTCAGGGGATAAGGTGATGGTTGTGGCGTATCATATCTCAGGGGATAAAATGATGGAGATGGCCAACCATATCTAAGGGAATAAGGTGATGGGTGTGGGCAACCATATCTCAGGGGATAAGGTGATGGGTGTGGCGTATCATATCTCAGGGGATAAAATGATGGGGATGGCCAACCATATCTAAGGGGATAAAATGATGCGTGTGGCCAACCATATCTAAGGGGATAAAGTGATGGGTGTGGCGAACCATATCTCAGGGGATAAAGTGATGGGTGTGGCCAACCATATCTCAGGGGATAAAATGATGGGTGTGGCCAATCATATCTCAGGGGATAAAGTGATGGGTGTGGCCAATCATATCTCAGGGGATAAAGTGATGGGTGTGGCCAATCATATCTCAGGGGATAAAATGATGGGTGTGGCCAATCATATCTCAGGGGATAAAGTGATGGGTGTGGCCAATCATATCTCAGGGGATAAAGTGATGGGTGTGGCCAATCATATCTCAGGGGATAAAATGATGGGTGTGGCCAATCATATCTCAGGGGATAAAGTGATGGGTGTGGCCAATCATATCTCAGGGGATAAAGTGATGGGTGTGGCCAATCATATCTCAGGGGATAAAGTGATGGGTGTGGCCAATCATATCTCAGGGGATAAAGTGATGGGTGTGGCCAATCATATCTCAGGGGATAAAATGATGGGTGTGGCCAATCATATCTCAGAAGATAAAGTGATGGGTGTGGCCAATCATAACTCGGGGGATAAAATGATGGGTGAGGCCCATCATATCTCAGAGGATGAAAAGAAAGGTGTGGCCAATCATATTTCAGGGAATAAATTGATGGGTGTGGCCAACCATATCTCAGGGATAAGGTGATGGGTGTGGGCAATCATATCTCAGGGGATAAAATGATGGGGATGGCCAATCATATCTCAGGGGATAAAATGATGGATGTGGCCAACCATATCTCAGGAGATAAGGTGATGGGTGTGGGCAACCATATCTCAGGGGATAAGGTGATGGGTGTGGCCAATCATATCTCAGAGGATAAAGTGATGGGTGTGGCCAATCATAGCTCAGGGGATAAAATGATGGGTGTGGCAAACCATATCTCAGGGGATAAAATGATGGAGATGGCCAACCATATCTAAGGGAATAAGGTGATGGGTGTGGGCAATCATATCTCAGGGGATAAAATGATGGATGTGGCCAACCATATCTCAGGAGATAAGGTGATGGGTGTGGGCAACCATATCTCAGGGGATAAGGTGATGGGTGTGGCCAATCATATCTCAGAAGATAAAGTGATGGGTGTGGCCAATCATAGCTCAGGGGATAAAATGATGGGTGTGGCATACCATATCTCAGGGGATAAAATGATGGGGATGGCCAACCATATCTAAGGGGATAAAATGATGGGTATGGCCAACCATATCTCATGGGATAAAGTGATGGGGGTGGCCAACCATATCTCATGGGATAAAATGATTTGTGTAGCCAACCATATCTCAGGGGATAAGGTGATGGGTGTGGCGTATCATATTTAAGGGGATAAAGTAATGGGTGTGGCCAACCATATCTAAGGGGATAAGGTGATGGGTGTAGCCAACCATATCTCAGGGGATAAGGTGATGGGTGTGGCGTATCATACTCAGGGGATAAAGTAATGGGTGTGGCCAACCCTATCTCAGGTGATAAGGTGATGGGTGTGGCTAATGTAATAGCTTTATGGGTTAGATAGGTCCTGTCAGCTATATAGACATAATTATATAATAATTGATTAATCAGATGTTTGTTGAATATGTAATACATAATAGTGGAATATGTAAATTAATTTGGGATGCTATAATTATTATGTCAATTATTTAGGTAAGGTTGGATATTTAACTAATTAGGTATGGTTATGTTATGCTTATTACATTACTTAATTGGTGCTGTTAGAAATTATACCCATCTTTGATGTGATGCTGAAATCTTTTGCTTTGGTTGAATATGTGTTATTGTTCATTTTACGTATATTCATATCCAAACAAATATGGTTTTGAATTGCCATTGAAATAATTCTTCCTGAAAAATAATTTATTTCTTGACAAAACCGATCATGTTCTGTTTGCAGTCGGAACACGAGGGTCTGGTAAATGGTGTGTCCCCAGACGGTGTGCGAGGCTACCCCGGGGCCAACCTCACGCTCCAGCGCTGTTCCTACAAGGACGACTATGATGGTCCTAATGGGATCAACCCTGCCAATAGACACACGGGTGGTTATCACACCCTCGGCCGGCCTACTGTCGTCCACCGTCTAACAAGTAAAAACCAAGCTTCTTTGTTTAAAATAAAATTCATGCTCTGTTCAATGTGTCAACTGAAAAGTGATGGCAACATATACAATTAGTGGTAGTCTGCAACATCCCAACACTAATTATTACCATACAGTAACTCTTAAAAGAAAGCTTTGATTTTTGATGAAATTATCCTTAAAGTACATAATAACTATTACAGCATCAATTATCTGTTGTGTTTGATTTTGAACTTAATCTAAAATCAATGTGACCATGAGGAACCATCTTGGATTTTTGCACCTGAAGTGTCCACACAAAGGTTTTTAGCTCACCTGAACCGAATGGCCAAGTGAGCTTATGGCATGGTGCGGCATCCGTCGTCTGTCCGGCATCCGTCCGGCGTCAACGTTTTGCATAACCCAACTTCTTTTGAATAACTAAGAGGCCCAGGCTGATGATATTTCGCCAGAAGCATGCTGGGATGAAGGGCTACCAAGTTTGTTCAAATGAATGACGTTTGCCTATTTTCAAGGTCACACGGGTCAAATATGTAAAAATCTTTCAAGAACTTCTTCTGAATAATCAAAAGCTCCCGGGTGATGATATTTGGCCAGTAGCATGCGGGGATGAAGGGCAACTAAGTTTGTTCAAACGAATGACCTTCGCCCATAATGATGGTCACAGGGGTCAATTGTCTTGATAACCTTTAACGACTTCTTCTGTATAACCAAAATGTCCAGGGTGATGATATTTGGCCAGAAGGATGTTAGTATGAAGGGGCTAGGAAGTTTGTTCAAACAAATGACCTTCACTCATATTCAAGGTCAAATGAGTCAATTGTTTAAAAAAAACTTTAAACAACTTCTGTATAACCAAAAGGTCCAGGGTGATGATATCTGGCCAGAAGGATGTTGGCATGAAGGGCTACCAAGTTTGTTTAAATGAATGACCTTTGCCCATATTCAAGGTCACAGGGGTCAAATATATTGAAATCTTTAAACGACTTCTTCTGAATAACTAAAGCGTACAGAGTGATTGCTTGTTGATGTGAAAGACTTTGACATACTTTCATGGTCACATCTGGTTCAAGTCATCTTTTCAATAAACAAAAGGTATAAGGTGATGATATTTGACAAGTTGCATTCTGGGAGGAAGGGCTATGAAATTTGTTCAACTTAATGTCCATGTTTGACTTTCAAGGTCACACGGGTCAAATGTGTTTTAATCATTTAACAGGTTCTTCTGAATGACTTGAAGTCAAGACACTGATATTTTGCCAGTATTTTACTCCACTTTTAAGGTTACAATTTTGAGATTAATACCAGGTGAGCGATACAGGCCCATTGGGCCTCTTGTTATTTGATAGCTATTGTAAAAATGCTTTGATTTTCAGGAACCATTCTCCAATTACTTGTAGTGTAAATAAACCCACTCATTTTCAGTTTATGGATTTGAAATTCAGTATAGCCACCAGTAGTGATAATAGATTTTGACACTTTCAGTTGTGTCTGTGAAACAATTTCTAAAGCCTCAATTGCATGAAAATTCCTACAAATACTTTAAGTATCATTCAACTACTCAGGTTAGGTTTTTAACCATATATGAAATTAATTACGGCACCTGTGTGGCAATCTTGGATTTTGGTACCTGAAGTGGTTTGTGTGGAATAACTCTTAAAGGATTGCTTTGAGCTTATCTCACCTCAGACCCGGGTTATCCCACGTCATACCCAGTGCTTGATTTCTCTATTTCGTCTTATCTGTCTCACTCATATTCAAGGTCACAGGGTTCAAATATGTTAAAATCTTTAAACGACTTCTTCTAAATATCCAAAATACCAAGGGTGATGATATTTGGCCAGTAGCCTGCTTGGATGAAGGGCTACCAAGTTTGTTCAAATGAAATACCTTCACTTATATTCAAGGTCACAGGGGTCAATTGTCTTTAAAAACTTTTGAGCGACTTCTTCTTAATAACCAAAAGCTCCAGGGTAATGATATCTGACCAGTAGCATGCTTGGATGAAGGGCTACCAAGGTTGTTCAAATGAATGACCTTGACCCATATTCAAGGTCACATGGGTCAAATATGTTAAAATCTTTAAACAACTTCTTCTGAATATCCAAAAGGCCCAGGGTGATGGTATTTCGCCAGTAGCATGCTGAGATGAAGGGGTACCAAGTTTGTTAAACTGAACAACCTTGACTTATATTCAAGATCACAGTGGTCAAATTTGTTTAAATCTTTAAACAACTTTTTCTGAATAACCATGAGGCCGAGAATGTTGATATTTAGATGAAGGGCTATCAAGTCATTTGAATGACCTTGACAATTTTTGAAGGTCACATTTGGTGAGATATGTAAATGACCTAATCTCATTAAACAAAAGGTCTAGGGTGATGATATTTGGCAAGTTGCATGACCTTGTTCGAAAATCAGGGTCTCAGGGGTCAAATGATTTAAAATCTATAAACAGGTTGTTTTGAATGACTTATAGTCATAAATACTGATATTTTGCCTGAAGCTTTATTTTAGATCACTTTTTAGGTTACAAGTGTGAGATTAATACCAAGTGAGCGATGCAGGCCCATCGGGCCTCTTGTTCATTTTTATTTTCAAACTCTGTTATTTTGTTTTTGACAGGTAAGAACCATGCACCGGTGAAGAGGCATCACTCGGCTGGGGACATGCTGGACGGAACATTTGATCTGGACTCGCCACCTGACAATGAAAAACACGAACGACCCAAGTCTGAGGGTCATACGTATCTACGTCAGTTCTCTCCAAAACGAACTTCTAGTTATGGTGTACGTGTCACACGAAACACTTGTTACTCTTACAATTTCTATTTTAATGGCATTTATTACAAATTAAAGATATTTTATCATGACAAGGTATGTCGATTTGAAATTGAAATGATTCTCATCAACTCAGTTCTACTGTCTGGAAATTAATCATTATGTTGTTAGAGAATAGTATTGATGCAATCTTGATTAACAAACCTTTGTAATTGCAGGGGAATTCACCGTTTGGAAAAGCTGATTCTTACCAAAAGTTGGAACAGCTTGGAGAAGGGAGCTATGCAACTGTGTATAAAGGATTTAGCAGGTAAGCTACAGACGTGTGGTAGGTAGGTTTGTTTTATGTGTGTGTTACTATATTACCCAGTGAAATATTGATTGAAAAAGATCCACATAAGTGAGTGTAAATTTAGCCGTTAAAAGTAAAATAATAATTTAATGTACTAAATGTTTGCTGTCATTAAGAGTTCGACAGCCTCACGATGGAGTGCCGAAAAAGCTGATATTGAAAAGCAGTGAATATTTACCGGTAATACACAGTATACAAGTATGTTAGAGACAGGTGTGTTTTACCGCTAATACATAGTATACAAGTATGTTAGAGACAGGTGTGTTTTACCAGTAATACATAGTATACAAGTATGTTAGAGACAGGTGTGTTTTACCTGTAATACACAGTATACAAGTATGTTAGAGACAGGTGTGTTTTACCAGTAATACACAGTATACAAGTATGTTAGAGACAGTTGTGTTTTAGCGGTAATACACAGTATACAAGTATGTTAGAGACAGGGGTGTTTTACCAGTAATACACAGTATACAAGTATGTTAGAGACAGGTGTGTTTTACCGGTGATACACAGTATACAAGTATGTTAGAGACAGGTGTGTTTTACCGCTAATACATAGTATACAAGTATGTTAGAGACAGGCGTGTTTTACAGGTAATACACAGTATACAAGTATGTTAGAGACAGGGGTGTTTTACCAGTAATACACAGTATACAAGTATGTTAGAGACAGGTGTGTTTTACCGGTGATACACAGTATACAAGTATGTTAGAGACAGGTGTGTTTTACCTGTAATACACAGTATACAAGTATGTTATAGACAGGTGTGTTTTACCGGTAATACACAGTATACAAGAATGTTAGAGACAGGTGTGTTTTACCGGTAATACACAGTAAACAAGTATGTTAGAGACAGGTGTGTTTCACCGGTGATACACAGTATACAAGTATGTTAGAGACAGGTGTGTTTTACCTGTAATACACAGTATACAAGTATGTTAGAGACAGGTGTGTTTTACCTGTAATACACAGTATACAAGTATGTTAGAGACAGGTGTGTTTTACCTGTAATACACAGTATACAAGTATGTTAGAGACAGGGGTGTTTTACCAGTAATACACAGTATACAAGTATGTTAGAGACAGGTGTGTTTTACCTGTAATACACAGTAAACAAGTATGTTAGAGACAGGTGTGTTTCACCGGTGATACACAGTATACAAGTATGTTAGAGACAGGTGTGTTTTACCAGTAATACACAGTATACAAGTATGTTAGAGACAGGTGTGTTTTACCGCTAATACATAGTATACAAGTATGTTAGAGACAGGTGTGTTTCACCGGTGATACACAGTATACAAGTATGTTAGAGACAGGTGTGTTTTACCAGTAATACATAGTATACAAGTATGTTAGAGACAGGCGTGTTTTACCGGTAATACACAGTATACAAGTATGTTAGATACAGGTTTGTTTTACCGGTAATACACAGTATACAAGTATGATAAAGAGAGGTGTGTTTTACCGGTAATACACAGTATACAAGAATGTTAGAGACAGGTGTGTTTCACCGGTAATACACAGTAAACAAGTAAAGTTTACTTTATAAACGTCTGGAATACTCTGATGGAGTGACTGATACCGCACTATGCTGGATACAGTCTTACCTGAGTGAACGACGACAGTGTGTTGCCATCAGATCTTCCACCTCACATGACAAAGTACTAGATTTCGGGGTTCCTCAAGGGTCGGTGTTAGGACCACGAAAATATTGTATGTACTCCAAACCGATTGGAGAGATTTGTCGTCGCCATAGCCTTCGCTATCATCGCTATGCCGATGACACACGTCAAATTTACATGGTCGTTAAACCACAGGACAGTTGGAATACCGTCTCAGAAAGTCTAGAAGCTTGTCTGACAGATATCAGTATCTGGATGAACGCCAACATACTTAAGCTTAATCAGGAAAAGACGGAACTAATCGTCTTTTCCCCAGAGTGTCAGCAAACAATGGCTCTCCAGCTCAAGGTCGGTGCCAGAACTATTGAGACGGTTCCAGCTGTTAAAAACCTAGGGGTATACTTTGATAGCTCACTGAACATGGAGAAACAAGTGAATGCTGTTGCCAAATCTTGTTACTGCCAGATCAGGAACATCGGCTGTATTCGGCAGTTTTTAACTGCAGATGCATGCAAGATTTTGGTGCATTCACTTGTTACCTCTCGGTTGGATTATGGTAACGCCCTGCTCTGTGGTATATCTGACAAACTAACTAGTCGTCTGCAGAGGGTCCAGAACACTGCAGCACGGCTAGTTACTCGTACTCGAAAGAGAGAGCACATCACACCTGTGCTTTATTCGTTACAATGGTTACCTGTACGATACAGGTCGCAGTACAAAATTCTGGTGTACACATACAAGGCACTGAATGGAACAGCTCCTCAGTACCTACAGGAGCTTGTTACCCTGTATCAGCCGTCACGATCACTGTGGTCGGAGTCAGAATCTTTGTTGTGTGTCACAAAATCTTGTACTGTGACCTACGGAAACAGATGCTTTGGGAGGGTTTCGGCTACATTTTGGAATTGCTTACCATCTGCTATAAGAAAGTCAAATACCCTGGCCAAGTTCAAGAGGGACATCAAAACTCACCTCTTCACGTCTGCATTTTAGAATCTTTGCAAAGACGTCATGTAAATACCACCTTTTATTTGTTCAATTATGTGCATATTGCTTGCTTAAATGTATAAAAGTGATTTTAAGCCTTTGTTTTTTGTTTTCACAATTATAACCATTACTATTATCCATATGTTGTAAAGGGCTTTAGAGTAATTTTAAAAATTATATAGGGCGCTATATAAATGTTGTATATTATTATTATTATCATATTAGATACAGGTGTGTTTTAAATGGGTGCATGCTTCATTTTAATCAATTGAAATGTTTACATTTCAGTTTAACGAATCAGATTGTTGCTCTAAAGGAAATCCGATTACAAGCGGAGGAGGGAGCTCCCTTTACTGCCATCAGGGAAGGTGAGAATATGTTTACTGTATGTATTAGTTTTTGTCTGATCACCAAGGTAACCAGGTTCTCCTGGATTACTGTGATCAGGGAAGGTGAGAATGTGTTTACTGTGTGTATTAGTTTTTGTCTGATCACCAAGGTAACCAGGTTTTCCTGGATTACTGTGATCAGGGAAGGTGAGAATGTGTTTACTGTGTGTATTAGTTTTTGTCTGATCACTGATGTAACCAGGTTCTCCTGGATTACTGTGATCAGGGAAGGTGAGAATGTGTTTACTGTATGTATTAGTTTTTGTCTGATCACCAAGGTAACCAGGTTCTCCTGGATTACTGTGATCAGGGAAGGTGAGAATGTGTTTACTGTGTGTATTAGTTTTTGTCTGATCACCAAGGTAACCAGGTTTTCCTGGATTACTGTGATCAGGGAAGGTGAGAATGTGTTTACTGTGTGTATTAGTTTTTGTCTGATCACTGATGTAACCAGGTTCTCCTGGATTACTGTGATCAGGGAAGGTGAGAATGTGTTTACTGTGTGTATTAGTTTTTGTCTGATCACCAAGGTAACCAGGTTCTCCTGGATTACTGTGATCAGGGAAGGTGAGAATGTGTTTACTGTGTGTATTAGTTTTTGTCTGATCACCAAGGTAACCAGGTTCTCCTGGATTACTGTGATCAGGGAAGGTGAGAATGTGTTTACTGTGTGTATTAGTTTTTGTCTGATCACCAAGGTAACCAGGTTCTCCTGGATTACTGTGATCAGGGAAGGTGAGAATGTGTTTACTGTGTGTATTAGTTTTTGTCTGATCACCAAGGTAACCAGGTTCTCCTGGATTACTGTGATCAGGGAAGGTGAGAATGTGTTTACTGTGTGTATTAGTTTTTGTCTGATCACCAAGGTAACCAGGTTCTCCTGGATTACTGTGATCAGGGAAGGTGAGAATGTGTTTACTGTATGTATTAGTTTTTGTCTGATCACTGATGTAACCAGGTTCTCCTGGATTACTGTGATCAGGGAAGGTGAGAATGTGTTTACTGTATGTATTAGTTTTTGTCTGATCACTGATGTAACCAGGTTCTCCTGGATAACTGTTCTCTGCTTCGTTTATGTTTCAGCCTCACTTCTGAAGGGTCTAAAACATGCTAACATCGTCACGCTTCATGACATCATACACACCAAGGAAACCTTAACTTTCGTGTTTGAATATGTTGTAAGTATAACTTACTGTGAGTTTGTTTATAGTTTTGTGTTTGAATATGTTTTAAGTATAATTTACTGCAAGTTTGTTTCCAGTTTTCTGGTGAACATTTTCTCGTTATTTTCTGGTCATATTTTTTTGACAAGAATATAATACTATTTATTTGAAAGCTGTGTTGGAGAATTTCAGATTTTTATACTTTGTTGATATAATGGTGTTATATTATATTTCAGCATACAGACCTCAGTCAGTACCTAGAGAAACACCCGGGCGGTCTCAATGCTTTTAATGTGAAGGTAAGATGTGTAAACACTCTGTACCGTGTCGACTTAAAACTTCACTTCTGACAATCTGAGATACACGCTTTAACGCTGACAATATGAGAGACATGCTTCAACTCTGACAATATGAGAGACATACTTCAACTCTGACAATATGAGAGACATGCTTCAACTCTGACAATCTAGGATAATCGCTTCAACTCAGACAATATGAGAGACACGCTTCAACTCTGACAATATGAGAGACATGCTTCAACTCTGACAATATGAGAGACATACCTCAACTCTGACAATATGAGAGACATGCTTCAACTCTGACAATATGAGAGACAGACTTCAACTCTGACAATATGAGAGACATGCTTCAACTCTGACAATCTAGGATAATCGCTTCAACTCTGACAATATGAGAGACACGCTTCAACTCTGACAATATGAGAGACATGCTTCAACTCTGACAATCTGAGATACTCGCTTCAACTCTGACAATCTTGGATACTCGCTTCAACTCTGACAATCTAGGATAATCCTTTCAACTCTGACAATCTGAGATACACACTTCAACTCTGACAATATGAGAGACACGCTTCAACTCTGAAAATATGAGAGACATGCTTCAACTCTGACAATCTGAGATACTTGCTTCAACTCTTACAATCTAGGATACTTGCTTCAACTCTGACAATATGAGAGACACGCTTCAACTCTGACAATATGAGAGACATGCTTTAACTCTGACAATCTGAGATACTCGCTTCAACTCTGACAATCTAGGATACTCGCTTCAACTCTGACAATCTAGGATAATCCTTTCAACTCTGACAATCTGAGATACTCACTTCAACTCTGACAATCTGAGATAAACACTTCAACTCTGACAATATGAGAGAGATGCTTCAACTCTGACAATATGAGAGACATGCTTCAACTCTGACAATCTGAGATACTCGCTTCAACTCTGACAATCTAAGATACTCGCTTCAACTCTGACAATATGAGAGACAAGCTTCAACTCTGACAATATGAGAGACATGCTTCAACTCTTGACAATCTGAGATACTCGCTTCAACTCTGACAATCTAGGATACTCGCTTCAACTCTGACAATCTAGGATACTCGCTTCAACTCTGACAATCTAGGATAATCCTTTCAACTCTGACAATCTGAGATACTCACTTCAACTCTGACAATCTGAGATACACACTTCAACTCTGACAATATGAGAGAGATGCTTCAACTCTGACAATATGAGAGACATGCTTCCACTCTGACAATCTGAGATACTCGCTTCAACTCTGACAATCTAAGATACTCGCTTCAACTCTGACAATATGAGAGACACGCTTCAACTCTTGACAATCTGAGATACTCGCTTTAACTCTGACAATCTAGGGTACTCGCTTCAACTCTGACAATCTAGGATAATTCTTTCAACTCTGACAATCTGAGATACTTGCTTCCTCAATGTTGATTTTCATAGATAGGACCCATTTTACATGAACAAATCTTTTGTTTTTTTCTGACTCCAAAGTGTGTAGATAATTCCCCAGACTAACAGTAATGTATTTACATCAGATATACATGTGTTTTGCCAGAGCTAATTAGGTCACTGTGACTTATATTTGAGTCTATTTCTACAGCTGCTGTTGTTCCAGCTACTCCGGGGCCTGGCATACTGTCATCAACGCAGAATCCTTCACCGGTCAGTTTGCTTGTCACTTGTTTGACTCTTGTTTCATTAAAACAATTTGTTTGGTTGTTGTCTGAAAGATGCGTTTGGACTGACTATCATTTCAAAATTTTCAACTTCTCCCCTGAGCTTTTATGACGAAAAGGAGATTAAGCATACCCCATATTAGCAAACAAAGTTTGCGCAGAAAAAGAGATCTCCTCTTTCTAACGTGTACATTAAATATGTAGTTAAAGGTTTTAATTTCATTATGTCGCCTTTTCCACATTGCTGCAGCAGAGTTTTCCATATTCGTGACATCATGTCATTGTTGAGCCTTTGTGATGTCACGTTACGTGAAATGGTGTGTAAGATAGACATTTCCTACACCCCTTTCTTACCCTGGACAGCTCTATCTTACACACAGGGAAATGAGAGAAATTAAAATGATGCCTTTCTAGTTATCTCCTCTTTCATTATGAAATAAATTATCTCCCTTTATGATAGACCGGTGCTCTTCTCTATCTTAGATGATGGTACAACTACCTATATGATACAAAATGGCGTACTCTTTTCGTAATGGTGGAAAATATTTCCCCTTACTTTGAACAGAAGTTATCTACCCTGTGAAGATTTTCCATGATCCATCTAAGCCATCACTAATTATCATTAAAAGTGTAGCAGAGCTGGACTGGGTCAATCATAGGCTCAATTGGTGGAGCGTCTGTCTAGAGATCCGAGGGTCCTGTGTCCCAGTCTTGCCATGTGTTTCTCTTTCCTTTTCTGTTACAAAATGTAACGTTGCTTCTTGTAGAACCTTCTTAATGCAAATGCTTTAGTCTGGGGAAATGATTTAAAATCAGATGTAACCATTACAGAAAAAAGTTGAAGAATAGGATTTAATTTCATGTCTCGATCCGCTTGGAATGTATGTAGGTAACCGTGACCTTAACCTCAAGGTCAAAGGCCAAGTAAATGCAATCCAGCAAAATTTTGTGCTGGCCTTAACTTTTGTACCATTAAAGATATCTTAATATAATTTATTTCTGGCTATTCCCCCATGCAAGTCTTTTTGAGGTTATACTGTGTTACCTGAAAAGCAGACAACACAAAAAGTGATGACGTTGTCTACCTCAATGTTTGGCGCAGTATTTTTAATTCTAACTTCTGACTGGTTGTAGTTGCTTGATGATAAAATTACTGTGCAATGTTATGTTTTGTTCGAAAACGTTTTTTTTTTATCAGAAATAAATAATAATAATAATACTAACAATTTGAGGTCCTTATATACCGCTTTATCACAGCCTAGCTCGTAGGTCGTCTCAAAGCGGTTCACAAATTATTATCCATGGTTATAGGGCCTTTGAAACCAGCCAATATCTTTCTCAACTCCCTGGAGAGCATACAGCTGGTGCTGCCATTTCGGCTCTCACAGATAGCATTCAACAATTCTAGCACTGCCCAACCACGTACTCATTTACAGCTGAATAGACTGGAACAAGCGGAGTAAAGTATCTTGTTCAAAGATACAACACAGTGCCGAGACGTGACTTGAACCTGCAACCCTTCGGTCACGAGCCCGGCTTCCTACCTCTAGACTACCGTGCCTCCCTTCGGTCATGAGCCCTGCTTCCTACCTCTAGACTACCGTGCCTCCCTTTGGTCACGAGCCTGGCTTCCTACCTCTAGACTACCGTGCCTCATAAATATTCATTAAGAACTTTAAGTGTTGTCTATTAATTAATGAATTAAATTATAAGATACAGCTATGTTATTTTGGGGGTTATATGGTTTATTATAAGGGACAGCTATTCATGAGCCCTGCTTCCTACCTCTAGACTACCGTGCCTCCCTCCGGTCACGAGCCCGGCGTCCTACCTCGAGACTACCGTGCCTCCCTTCGGTCATGAGCCCGGCTTCCTACCTCTAGACTCCCGTGCCTCCCTTTGGTCACGAGCCTGGCTTCCTACTTCTAGACTACCGTGCCTCATAAATATTCATTAAGAACTTTAAGTGTTGTCTATTAATTAATGAATTAAACTATAAGATACAGCTATGTTATTTTGGGGGTTTTATGGTTTATTATAAGGGACAGCTGTGTTATTTTGGGGGTTATATGGTTTTTTATAAGGGACAGCTATGCTATTTTGGGGGTTATATGGTTTATTATAAGGGACAGCTGTGTTATTTTGGGTATACGGGACAGCTATGTTATTTTGGGGGTTATATGGTTTATTATAAGGGACAGCTTTGTTATTTTGGGGGTTATATGTTTATTATATGTGACAGCTATGTTATTTTGGAGGTTATATGGTTTATTATAAGAGACAGCTGTGTTATTTTGGGGGTTATATGTTTATTATATGTGACAGCTATGTTATTTTGGAGGTTATATGGTTTATTATAAGGCACAGCTATGTTATTCTGGGGGTTATATGGTTTATTATAAGGTACAGCTGTGTTATTTTGGGTATACCGGACAGCTATGTTATTTTGGGGGTTATATGTTTATTATATGGGACAGCTATGTTATTTTGGAGGTTATATGGTTTATTATAAGAGACAGCTGTGTTATTTTGGGGGTGATATGGTTTTTTATAAGGGACAGCTATGCTATTTTGGGGGCTATCTGGTTTATTATAAGGGACAGTTATGTTATTTTGGGGGTTATATGTTTATTATAAGGGACAGCTGTGTTATGTTGGGGGTTATATGGTTTAGTATATGGGACAGCTATGTTATTTTGGGGGTTATATGGTTTATTATAAAGGACAGCTATGTTATTTGGGGGGTTATATGGTTTATTATAAGGGACAGCTGTGTTATTTTGGGGGTTATATGGTTTATTATAAGGGACAGCTATGTTATTTTGGGGGTTATATGGTTTATTATAAGGGACAGCTATGTTATTTTGGGGGTTATATGGTTTATTATAAGGGACAGCTATGTTATTTTGGGGGTTATATGGTTTATTATAAGGGACAGCTATGTTATTTTGGGGGTTATATGGTTTATTATAAGGGACAGCTATGTTATTTTGGGGGTTATATGGTTTATTATAAGGGACAGCTATGTTATTTTGGGGGTTATATGGTTTATTATAAGGGACAGCTATGTTATTTTGGGGGTTATATGGTTTATTATAAGGGACAGCTATGTTATTTTGGGGGTTATATGGTTTATTATAAGGGACAGCTATGTTATTTTGGGGGTTATATGGTTTATTATAAGGGACAGCTATGTTATTTTGGGGGTTATATGGTTTATTATAAGGGACAGCTATGTTATTTTGGGGGTTATATGGTTTATTATAAGGGACAGCTATGTTATTTTGGGGGTTATATGGTTTATTATAAGGGACAGCTATGTTATTTTGGGGGTTATATGGTTTATTATAAGGGACAGCTATGTTATTTTGGGGGTTATATGGTTTATTATAAGGGACAGCTATGTTATTTTGGGGGTTATATGGTTTATTATAAGGGACAGCTATGTTATTTTGGGGGTTATATGGTTTATTATAAGGGACAGCTATGTTATTTTGGGGGTTATATGGTTTATTATAAGGGACAGCTATGTTGTTTTGGGGGTTATATGGTTTATTATAAGGGACAGCTCTGTTGTTTTGGGGGTTAAAGGGTTTATTGTAAGGGACAGCTATGTTATTTTTGGGGTTATATGGTTTATTGTAAGGGACAGCTATGTTATTTTTGGGGTTATATGGTTTATTATAAGGGACAGCTATGTTGTTTTGGGGGTTATATGGTTTATTATAAGGGAAAGCTATGTTATTTTGGGGGTTATATGGTTTATTATATGGGACAGCTATGTTATTTTGGGGGTTATATGGTTTAGTATAAGGGACAGCTATGTTATTTTGGGGGTTATATGGTTTATTATAAGGGACAGCTATGTTATTTTGGGGGTTATATGGTTTATTCCTTTAAAGACTTGACCTATACCTGCATTACCCACACTGTACTGTATTTAGGTCACTGTGGCCTTCATGTGCAGGTTCTGGTCTAAGACACATATTCATGTGACTGACAAGGGGAGACATGGTTAAGCTCACAAAACAAATTATGGTTAGGTGTTATTTTATTTCAATCATTTTTTTAATATTTTTTTAAATTTAAGCTAATTGGCTAGATTTGTCATATTTCAGACGAAAAATGTTCCCTTCGTTTCTCATTACCTTACAGAGAATTTAACATTGAATTTAAATTTTATATTTCAGAGACTTAAAACCACAAAACTTGCTTATTCACGAAACTGGTGAATTAAAGCTGGCTGATTTTGGTAAGTGTTACGATAGTCTGATAGCGTGAAGTGTTTATATATCCTTTAAATCAAAAGATCATGACATCTTCTTTATAAAAGTCGTAGGTATCTTTAGTATATCCATCTTACTTGTTGTGATATCTGTCTGTCTGTCTGTGTGTCTGTCTGTCTGTCCCTAGGAAGTAGGTTACTTTATACTGTTGTATATAAATGCAGTTGCATTCATTACATGTATGATAACTGTAAAGATATTGTTCGAGCTACAGTCGAACCTCGTTATCTCGAAGTCGAAGGGGTCGTAGGAAAACTTTGAGTTATCTGAGTGTTCGAGTTAAGCGGGCTCATATATTTGGTATGAAATGTACTGTTTGGACATAACACTAGCAGTCGTTGATGCGTACTAATAGCCAATGTTTATAATCAATTGATGGATGATATACGTAATCAATAGGACACATACATGTATGTTATTTTATAATAAACACGCTTACAAAAATAGTACTTTCGTTTAACCAGGGGTCCCTGGTTTAACGCGGTGAAAACGGTTGGACCATATTGCGAATTTGTTATGAAATATGGACGAGCCTAGTGATTAAATGTGGATTTGGCTAGTCTTGGCAAAGTCTTTCTAGGTCTTCATTTATATTTGCAAGTCCGTCAAGTTTTACCTCTGAAGTGTTTCTTTTAAACTAGAACTTTACGATGCAGAAATGAAAGTGCGCAAGTCTGAAACAAATCACTGTAATGGAGCGTACGCATAGTTGATTCTTTAAATGAAAACACACACAAACAGATTATATCGTACATGTAACATATTGATTCATAAAAGCCAAATGTGACACCTGACACCTCCTCAACTTGATATAATCAACAGCAATTATCGTATTGTTCTTAAAATCTCTCGATACACTTTCAAAGCCATACTGGCTCCTGTAAAAACACGAACCCATGAAGCTGTCCTATGTTGTGATTTTAACTGTGGAACTCTTTTATGCATGACCACGCTTTGTGACCAATTTTTCTGGTTTGGACTCTCGTCAGTTTGGGTGTATAAATCATTAAACGAAATCGCAGTAAGTACAGAATACTGTGATGAAGTTTGTTTTTCCAATGAACGACGTGGTTTTGACAGTCCGCACACTTTACAGTCTTAAGCTTTATCGTAAATTATTTTTACCGATTTCATGTGTTCATAAACACGGAATGGCGAAATGCGGTAGCTTTGCGATTTATTTGTATCATTTAATAAATAATTGACGAAATAAAATTCGAACACTGTTTCAGTAGACGATGTTTTGATGTTGGATTTACACTATTGAAACCAATATCTTACTTCGAGGTATCCGAGTTTTTCGAGTTTTCAGGGTTTGAATTATCAGAGTTTTATTTACTAAGATAAAGAAGACATTTGGCCGGGACCGGAGAGATACTTCAAGATAAACGGGGTCTTCGAGTTATGAGAGTTCGAGATAACGAGGTTCGACTGTATGAACAGTTGAAATTTGTTCGTCAAAATTCTTGGTAAATGAATAGAAATCTAAAATGATGAGAGAGTAAGATATGTGACAAAGAAACCATTGAAATCAGGATTGGTGTGGGGCCTGAGATGTAGGTTTGATGTTGGGCCTGAGAGGTAGGTTTGATGTTGGGCCTGAGAGGTAGGTTTGATGTTGGGCCTGAGAGGTAGGTTTTGGTTTGGGACCTGAGATGTAGGTTTGAATGTTGGGCCTGAGAGGTAGGTTTGATGTTGGGCCTGAGATGTAGGTTTGAATGTTGGGCCTGAGAGGTAGGTTTGATGTTGGGCCTGAGATGTAGGTTTGATGTTGAGCCTGAGTGGTAGGTTTTGGTTTGGGGCCTGAGAGGTAGGTTTGATGTTGGGCCTGAGATGTAGGTTTGATGTTGAGCCTGAGATGTAGGTTTGATGTTGGGCCTGAAAGATAGGTTTGATGTTGGGCCTGAGAGATAGGTTTGATGTTGGGCCTGAGAGATAGGTTTTGGTTTGGGGCCTGAGAGGTAGGTTTGATGTTGGGCCTGAGAGGTAGGTTTGATGTTGGGCCTGAGAGATAGGTTTAATGTTGAGCCTGAGAGGTAGGTTTTGGTTTGGGCCCTGAGAGGTAGGTTTGATGTTGGACCTGAGAGGTAGGTTTTGGTTTGGGGCCTGAGATGTAGGTTTTGATGTTGAGCCTGAGAGATAGGTTTGTTCCCGTAATAAGATCTCTTTACAGGACAGTTTGACTGTTTTATTGTTTTAACTGCAGGCTTGGCACGGGCTAAGTCCATCCCGAGTCATACGTACTCCCACGAAGTGGTGACCTTGTGGTATCGGCCTCCTGACGTCCTCCTCGGCTCTACCAACTACTCCACCTCACTGGATATGTGGTAAGTAAATGTGAAATCTACATGATCGGGGTTCTCCCACTTTTAGGTAAGCTAACATTGTCCCTTGTAAAATGTTACTTGTATCACAAACATCCCACAGCTCACTATTTCAGTAGGAGCCAATCTTTCAACCTGATGCAAATTGAAGATTTTTCTTTTTTTTTTGCATTTTGTGCAATCAGTTTGTTGCATTGAGCTGCGTTAAATATGTTGAAAGCCTGTTTTTAAAGAAAGAAATTGCTGCAGTCTATTTAGTAGTGGCGGTGTATGTTGATGTCAACACCAACACTGTAACGATGGAAGGGAGATAATCCTTGCTATTCAAAAGTGTAAATGTCTGGTTTAATGTCTCGCCGCCACGGAGTGGGAGCAAGACTTAGGTGTTTCTTTTCCAGCGATGGCAGCGATGGCGTCAACATTAAGTTTTTGCGTTTAAGTTAGTTTCATTGAAAGTATAAGTGCTACAACAACCAAACTTGGACCATAGATGCATCTTGGGTAGTACATCTCAACCCATGCATCAAATACTGGGTGCGGCCTAACTTTCATAGTCCATTGACTTGTCAGCATCTCCATCAACATTAAGTTTTTGCGATTAAGTTTGTTTCTCTGATATGTGCATTGACTATTATTCTCATTACATTTGATACGGATGTTGATTTGGTCCTGACAGGGGTGTGGGCTGTATATTCACCGAGATGATATCTGGAATGGCGACCTTCCCAGGCATGAAAGATTCTGTGGATCAGCTGGACAAAATCTTCAGGGTAACTACCACAGACTAACATACATACACACAGTAATCATAGGTAACTACCACAGATTTACATACATACACACAGTTATCACAGGTAACTACCACAGACTAACATACATACACACAGTAATCACAGGTAACTACTACAGACTAACATACATACACACAGTAATCACAGGTAACTACCACAGACTAACATACATACACACAGTAATCACAGGTAACTAC